CATGTGGCATGTCATGCTTGAGACTGCTCGAAAGTCTTCGTCTTCGCATCGCATTGGCGACCCCTTGAGCGGGGAAGAGTTAGGATTCGGATCTTTTTCATTGGATAAGCTTGGGTGTCTCGACCACCCCAAAAGACTGAAGTGATCGGTTCATCAGCCATGAATCCTTTGGAGTGCTCACCCGGGGTGGTCGTTCAGATCCCAAGACTCGTTGGTCTCTCGTTGGCGTTCGAGTTGAACGGAGCAGGGACTCACTGCTGGTCCAGTCTTCGAGCGTGTTGACGCTTCGATCAGGGCGTAGGAAGCGGGTTAATAACCCCCCCCCCACGTGGAAGGTCTAGAAGGTCTGAGGTACCATTCATGAGGCCCACCTCCCCTGAATAATCTGCTAAGGGAGTAGTCGTAGTCGTAGTAGTCGTCCTGTATAGCAGCAGCAGCAGTAGTAGTAGCAGTATAGCAGTAGTAGCAGGTAGCAGGTTTTAGATAGTAGGTAGTAGGCAGGTAGTAGTAAGCAGTAGTAAGCAGTAGTAAGTAGTAAGCAGTAAGTAGCAAGTAGTACGTAGTAGGTAGTGGTAGTGGTAGTGGTAGTGGTGGTGGTAGTCGTAGTAGTAGTAGTAGTAGTAGTAGTAGTAGTAAGTAGAGGTAGCAAGTAGAGGTAGTAGGTAGTAGGTAGTGGGTAGTGGGAGTGGGAGTGGGAGTGGAAGTGGTAGTGGTAGTGGTAGTGGTAGTCGTAGTAGTAGTAGATAGTAGGTAGTAGGTAGTAGGTAGATAGTAGGTGGTAGATAGTAGGTAGTAGGTGGTAGTAGGTGGTAGTAGGTAGTAGGTGGTAGTAGGTAGTAGGTAGTAGGTAGTAGTAGGTAGTAGTAGGTAGTAGGTAGTAGGTAGTAGGTAGTAGGTAGGTAGTAGGTAGTAGGTAGTAGGTAGTAGGTAGTAGGGAGTAGGAGTAGGTAGTAGGTAGTAGGTAGTAGGTAGTAGGTAGTAGGGAGTAGGAGTAGGTAGTAGGTAGTAGGTAGTAGGTAGTAGGTAGTAG